TCATACCAGGGGTCACAAGGTTTGTTGGTATTGTCGTGAGCCACGTGAAAGCCTCCTCTGCAGTACCAATCTGCTGGAGAACGTTCCCATAAGACCCACATACTCTAGTTCTGCCCTATTCCCAGAGTTCCAACCACACGCTCCCCCTCAACCTAATTTTTCAAACTTACCCCTCCTAGATGCTGATCATCTAGCTGGTCCATCAGTCACTGCCCACAAAATGGTGTCACGGGTGCCTCAGGCCCTTTCTCCTTACTGAGTAGGTGTTGTATGAGTTTCCTGAGGCTGCCATAACAAATTACCCCAAACATGGTGGCTTGGAACAGCAGAAGTTTATTCTCTCACAATTTTTTTATTTTTTATTTTTTTAGTTGTAAGTGGATACAATACCTTTTTGTTTTTATTTGTTGATTTTTATGTGGTGCTGAGGATCAAACCCAGAGCCTCACACATTCTAGGCAAACGATTTTACCCCAGCCCCCTCTCTCACAATTTTGGAGGCCAACGGTAGAATAAAGGTGTTGGCAGGTCTTCATTCCCTGCAGTGGATTTGGGGAACAATCCACTTGGTCACTCTCCTCCTTCTCTTTCTTCTCTTCCTCCTGCTCTTTCCATCTTTTTGGGCTGGGGACTGAACCYAGCTCTGGCACATGCTATGCATGAGCTCGGTCGGCACTGAGCTACACCACCCCCCCACCCACCCCCCTCCCCCCCCATTCCTCTTCTTGTTTCAGGTGGTTGCTGCCTTCCTTGGCTGTGGCCACAACTCCCCCATCTAACTCTGTGGTCTTGTCACTTTTTTTTTCCKGTTATATCCTTTAATATCTGACTGTTTCTCTGTCTCTGTCTTTTGGCGGCAAGCATCATTGTTGTTAATTTCATTTTGAGGCAGGAACTTGCTAAAGTGCTGAGGCTGGCCTTGAACTTGTAATTCTYTTGCCTCAGCCTTGCAGGTTGCTGAAGTGTGCTTCACTGTGCCACTTGTCATTAAAAGGGGAATGAAGGGAAAGTCAGGGGAGAGGAATAGGAAGGACAGTAGAATTAGTCAGACATAACTTTCCTAGCCTTGTATTTGAATACAAGACCAGAGTAATGCCACATCATGTACAACCACAAGAATGGGATCCCAAATAGACTAAGTTATAATCTATCTATGTATAATTTGCCAAAATACACTCTACTGTCACGTATAATTTAAAAGAACAGGGCTGGGGTTGTGGTTAGCGGTAGAGCTCTCACCTAGCATGTGTGAGGCCCTGGGTTCGATCTTCGGCACCACATAAAAATAAATAAATAAAATAAAGGTACTGTATCCAACTACAACTAAAAAATAAATATTAAAAAAATTAAAAGAACAAATTAAAAAAAATACTTATCATTGAATTTAGGRCCCACCTAGATCATCTTGTTGGATCTCCATTTTGAAAAATTCTTAATTTACTTACATCTGCAAAGCATATTTTCCAAAAAAAAAAAAAARAGAGATAATGTTCACAGGTTCTTGGAAATGGATGTGGATCTTTCAGGGATTGTACTAGCACTTGGAATTCTGTGTTCCATGTAGCTTTCCTTTCCCTGAAGTCCCAAGGGCCTTCCTGCGTGGGGATGTCATGCTGCGGTGGCCCTCTTCTACCAGCTAGCATGCCAGCAGAGCTCTCTCAAGCAGGCAGGGAAAGGGGGACCTGCCCATTCAGCTTCCACAGTGAAAGCAAAGGTACATTAGGGCTCTCCTCCAGCAGAGTATCACCCTAAAATAAGAAGGGGGTTGAGATGCAGGTCAGCCCAAAACAGGACCAAACGATGTGGCAAACATCCATTACAAATAGAGTCACCACCCCTCATCTTTCAAGTCATTGCAAGTAACTAATTTCTGCAGGTCTCCTTGAGACATAATACTGTTTGGGATTTATTCTTTTGAGCACCAGAGGTTTTGGACTAGATCTTCTTAGTCCATTAACTTTTAGCCAAGAATCAGGGGACAGGGAAAGATCCACATTCTGTTCCCAAGAACTCATGAACGTTATCTTTTATAGAGAAAATATTCTTGGGCTGGGGTTGTGGCTCAGTGGTAGAGTGCTTGCCTTGCATGTGTGAGGCACTGGGTTTGATTCTCAGCATCATATGTAAACAAATAAATAAAGGTCCATCAATAACTAGTGAAATATTAAAAAGAAAGAAAAAACATTCTTTGCAGATGTAAGTAAATTAAGAATTTTTCAAAATGGAGATCCAACAAGATGATCTAGGTGGGCCCTCAATCCAATGAGAAGTGTTATTATAAAAGACACACGAAGCTGGGCATAGTGGAGCACACTTGTGACCCCAGATCTTCTTAGTACATTACTTTTTAGCCCAAGGGTCTGCCCATTCCTGAGGTRACCTGGTTTACTGACTCAGGAACATGGGGCGGGGAGTTGAGGCTGTGCAGTTTAGCACCCTCATATCCCTGGATCTTACTTTAATGATCCTATATTTTGTAGCAACAAGTCCTAGCTGATTCTTTGAGCCACACTACATAAAGGTTTTGAATTTCATTTTATCTCTTAAATCAATGATCTAGACATTTGAGCTTATCTTGCATGACATTATTCAATGCCATTGTAAGTAGTCACTTCATTCAGTGTTCTTGATTTTTCCATTCCCTTTCTACCTCTCTATGGCCCAAGTCACTCAGTTCTCAGAAATTGACCCTAGAAGGCACATGGCCCTGGTGTTCACAGCTGATATTTGAGTAGGTGTTTCTCCTCTGTGCACGGCGGCCTGCTGTTTTCCCAGWTTGAACATAAACAGGCATCTCAGAGCCTGTTGCCTAGGCAGGAAACTTCCTTTCTGGTGCCAATATTTGGATCATATAGGGCTCGGCTCTTTGGTGACAACAGTCAAAACCTACTCTGGCTAATTAAAGCAAAATGGAAGAAAATAGATTGAAATTAGTTGGCTTACAGAGCTGAAGAAGGAACAGGACAACCTGTTCCTTAGGTGGCATAGGAATCAGAGTGGTGCTGAGGACCAGTAGTAAGAGCTCATGGATTGTTTCTTGAGGATGTTGCCAAGGTCCAACAAAGCACCAGTGTTTTCCCCTCATGCCCATCCACCACCAATTCAGATTTCACAGTGAAAGACTGATGGCCACTTGATCCAGCTTGGATGAGCCACTCAGATCAGTACTCAAGGGTCTGCATGCCTTGTGCTTGGCTGACTGACCAGAACCTCAGGAAGCTGGGGAGGCAGGGGAAGGGTGTACGTGGTGGCCAAATGAGGGGTATCCACCAACTCCTAAGAGTTTGTTTGGCTGTAGTTAGCCTAAGGCCTTTTTGGAATGAGGAAACACTCAGCCCCTGCTCTAGGGAAGTTTCCAGTCTGATGGTAGAGATGTGAGTGGTGACCTTGATGAACTTTCAGTCTGATGCTGAAGATGGTCACAAAACCAAAAAAGAGATTAAGAGAAAGAGGGAAATAGCACAAATATGTTCAAGGCAGAATTGTTYTGAACAGAGCAAAAGTAGAAATTGCCAAACATGCCAACGGGTAAATGATTAAATAATTATGGTACGTACAACAAATGTTACATCATTGCACAAGTATTAAAATAATGTTTTKGGGGAAAGTACTATGCCAAAATGTTATATGGTGTAATGCTAAGAGAAAAAATTGTATATAAAGTTGTATATACATTATTATCTGTATGAAGCAGTATGTGCAGGAGGGAAATGCACCATGTTAACAGAGGCAATACTCATCAACATTTTTTTAACATTTATTTTTTAGTTGTAGTTGGACATGATACCTTTATTTTATTTATTTATTTATTTTTATGTGGTGCTGAGGATCAAACCCAGGGCCTGCACATGCAAGGCAAGCGCTCTACTGCTGAGCTACCACCCCAGCCCCCTCATCAGCATTTTTGAATACTTCATATGTGATACTCTGGGCTAAACATTTTACAGTTACCTAAGCCTTCCATGATGGATAAAATCATCACCCCTGTTTTAAAGGTGAAAAAACTGAGGCTCAGGAAGTTTCAACCTATGGATGGTTACTTAGCTAGTAAGTGGCTGACTCAAATCCAGGTTGATCTAAAGCCAAAGTTTGTGTTTTAAAGATGGTCTTATCTTTCCTGAGCTCTTGATGTGGAGGATAGGAAGGATTTTTATTCTTTTACATATACTTTCCTAAATTTTCCTACTTCTCTACAGTAGCCATGTAGTTACCCATAAAATTAAGAGAAATATGTTTTTAAAAGGGAAATATATAAAATTATATATATATATATAAAAAATACATAAACAAGGGAGAAAGGCATTGCACTGAACAAAGAGCATATGTTAAGGTCTGAGAAGGCTCATGAAGAATGCTCTTTGCTGCGCTTTCTAGTCCCTTCTGTCCTCGGTCTGCGTGTGGTATTTTCGTACACACTACATGCATTATCAGCGTACGTGTCTCACTGCCGTTGAGGGCAGGGTTCCTGCCTTTTTATCTCTGTGGCTTTTGCTTGGAAGTTATCCTCCAACACAAGCTTAACGCATACTAACTAGACTCTTTGCAATTGTTGACTGAACGAAAGGGACCAGAAAACACAACCAGGAAAGATTTTGCTGACCTCTGGCGGTGGGGGTTGGGGACTCCGGGAGGGCGACGGGGAGCCAGACCGGGGTGGGTAGTGTGTGGTCGGGGCTTTTTGTGGGAGAAGCCGTTTTGCGATTGGAACTGAGCAGAGAAACGTGGCAGCCACAGCCCAGCCCTCCCAATTCCTGTCGGCTGCGGGTGGGTGAGAGGGGTCCCAGGTCCCCGCAGGGGGCGCGCGGGGTCGGGTGGCTCCCGGCTCCACCCCGCGGGGTCAGCCCCGCCCCCGACTCGGCCGTCCGGCCCCGCCCCCTCCCGGAGCCCCGGGGCGCTGGCCGCGGTGCTGAAACGACGCTCTCCGCAGAGGGAGGAAGGCAGGGCCCGGCCCGGCGAAGGGAGCGGGACTCCCTGGAGCTCTGAACTGGAAAAACGGGAGGGGACAGGGTGGCGCCAGCAGGACCTTGAGAGGAGGCAGGAGACCCGAGATAGGCGGGTTAGAGCAGAGACAGGCACCTGGCAAACCTCACCTGAGGACGCCAAGGCCATCCTTGTCCTGTTGAGCCTCTTCCCCGCCTGTGCTGGAAGGATTCTCACCTTGTGCCCCGACCTCAGCCTCCTTTCCAAGCCCCGCTGAGGAGTGACTCACTTCTGGGCCTCCATCCACATAGCCTCCGCCTGGCAGCTCACAAGCCCCTGGTCCAAGGCCTGCTGCCTTCACCATGGTGAAGTTGCTGCCCGCCCAGGAGGCAGCCAAGATCTACCACACCAACTATGTGCGGAACTCACGGGCGGTGGGTGTGATGTGGGGCACGCTCACCATCTGCTTTTCCGTGCTGGTCATGGCCCTCTTCATCCAGCCCTACTGGATCGGTGACAGCGTCAATACGCCCCAGGCGGGCTATTTCGGCCTTTTCTCCTACTGCGTGGGCAACGTGCTCTCTTCCGAGCTCATCTGCAAGGGCGGCCCTCTGGACTTCTCCTCCATCCCTTCCAGAGCCTTCAAGACAGCCATGTTCTTCGTGGCCTTGGCCATGTTTCTCATCATTGGCTCCATCATCTGTTTCAGTCTATTCTTCATCTGCAACTCGGCCACTGTCTACAAGATCTGTGCGTGGATGCAGCTGGCTGCAGGTGAGCGAGCGGGGTTTATGGGAGGGCAGGCCACAGCCATGGCTACATCATCCCACTCTGTGTGGAGGCTCCGGGTCTTCTACTTAACGATCTGTTTAGATTCTGAACAGGGAATCTTAATGACTGAAGCATAAAGGACTTCAGAGACCAAACTTTTCAAACTTCATATATTACAAAGATGGTCTTATCTTTCCTGACAGCAGTGACTTGAGCAGAGCACACAGCTCCTGGTAAGAGAACTCAGGTGTCCTGACTCCCAGGACACCATACTTTGAGAGGTTGTTGCAGCTCCAGGAAGAAGAAAGAAGGAAGTGTCCACTGTCAGCCCTGTGGGAATAGGACTCAGCCCTGGCGCAAAATAGTGATGTGGGTCACCATTCTAGATGCCCTCATCTCCCACTTCTGGGCATTTGTTCTATCTCACTTATCAGTACTCACATTCCTGTCCTCTCTCCAACCCTAAATAGTACTGATGGGCATTTCTAAGGTCAGCCATGTATTTTGGAGTGTAGCTATTACACCATGTGTGACCTCTCCCKTAGAAACTTGCATCAAAACTCCCCTTTCTCACTGTAGAGTGAATCGTTGTTCCCTCAGTATAGGATTTCATACTTGAGGCAGCAAATGGAGCAATATTTTGTGAGGTGGAGGGAGGCTGTCCAGGGTCCTTTAAAACTATATGAGATAGGCAGCCATTTGTGGTGACCGAGACAAGGATTTTACTCCCCTTTTTCCTGCTCCTGGCCCATGCAGGCTTCTTGGTGCTTTTCTCCTCTGGGTCACCTGTKTTTTTTTTTTTTTCTCCTCTAGAGCCCAGGAAGAGATGGACCAAGATCTTTTCTGTAGCCTTTGGTCCCTTCATCCCTGTCTATCCCAAGGCACAGACTGTCYATGCTGGATGTTCAGGAACAGTGCTGGGGACTGCAGACTAGAGCGGAACTCCCAACATCTTTGGTTAGAACAGGATGAGGTGTTATCTCAGGAGAAAATGAAACAGGAATCTGAATCCCAGACCACCAAACACATAGTGCAGAGTTAGAGGGGGTCCCCAGAGAGCTATATCCCACCAGCAACTGCAGATGAGGAATCGGGGTCTGAGAGAGAGGGTCAGACTTGGCAATCAGCTGGCAACTGAGAAGTAGGAGAGGTAAAGCATCAGGTCCCCCAAAACTAGACATACTCCAAAATACATTTTTTTTTTTAGTTTATAGATGGACACAATATCTTTATTTTTATTTATTTATTTTAATGTGGTGCTGAAGATCAAACCCAGGGCCTCAAGCATGCTAAGCAATCACTCTACCACTGAGCCACAACCCTAGCCCCTAATGACACTCTTTTTGAGACTCATATTTATATAAGTAAAATGATTTACAAGATACTTTCACATATTTCATCTGGAGAGCCTCATCACAACCCAGAAGTGAATATTTTTACATTTAACAGTTAAGACTGCTGGTGGGTAACTTGTCTTTGGGGGTAGATTCTTGATTCTCAGTCTCATACCCAGGCCACTAACTTGACTTCAGAACCTCTTCTAGATATCCCCACTCTCTCCCTCTCCTCTGTAGTCTCTTTATATGATAAGGGAGAGATCAGGACAGGAGTGAGGCAAAATTTGGTGGGTAATGGAGACAAGAATAGAGGGTGGTCATATCAAGAAAGAAGGGGAGCCAGTTATGATGGCATACACATGAAGTCCCAGGGTCTTGGAAGACTGAGGCAGGAGGATCACAAGTTTGAGACCAGCTTCAGCAACTTAATGAGACCCTATCTCAAAATAAAAAAGGGTTGCGGATGAAGAGAAAAGAAAGATGGAAAGAAAGAAAAGATAAAAGAGAGGACTGAAGATATAGATAGCAGTTCTGTGCCAAAGAGGAGTAGCATGGACTCTGACGTGCCTGCCAGCTGGTTCTCCATCAGGGTGATGGAATGCTGGAGACACACCATTCCTCTTTTATTCCCAGTGCTGCCCACCCCTCACCCCAATGTCTGCAACAGGTGCCATTTGCTGAGCAGTACCAGGAAGGCCTGGGTGGGGGAGGTGTCAGCAGGCTATTTGAGTCAGACCCTATCTGGGTCACAGAACTAGTGACACTGATAGCAGAGGTAGCCAGTTGCAATCGTATGAAACATTTATCTTTGGAGAAGGCAAAGGTGGTATCGTGTTCCATTCTGCTGTGTTGGAGAAGGAAGGATGAGCCAAAGAGAGGAGACTAAGGAGGGGGTGTACCCAACAGCAAGCAGCTGGGAGACACATTAATTTACAGAAACCTAAACAAGTTTGCTTAACTTTGCCCACTAGGCTGGGAGCAGGGAAGTGTTATAGCAGGGATAAAAGATCTGATTAATGAGGCAATGTGGGGTTGTAGCTTAATAATATTAGTTGAGCATCTGGAGGCCAGGTATAGGCTGAGTATGGTCCTAGCTCCTAAAGCCATAGGCAAGTCAAGTTGCTTGTCTTCTCTGGGTCTTGGTAAGCTCATGTCTTAGTCAATTTGGGCTGCTACAACAAATCATCTGAGACCAGGGGGCTTAAACAACAGAAATTTATTTATCACAGTTTAGGAAGCTAGATGCCTGAGATCAGGGTGCCAACCCAGCCTAGTTCTGGTGAGAGCCCTCTTCCATTGCAGAATGCTAACTTTGTCCTTGTCCTCAAAAATGGAAAGAGGTCAAGAAGGTTCTCAAGATCTTTTTTTTGTAAGGGCACTAATCCCATTCATGAGAGTTCCATCTTCATGATCTAATTACTTCCGCAAAGCCCCATCTTGTAATAACTGCTACATTTGGAGTTAGAATTTTAATATATGGATTTTTGGAACATAGACATTCAGTCTATTGTACTCATCCATAGAATGTAGCAACAGGAATGGGGTTCTATTTTTTTATTTGTTCTAACTAGTTATACATGACAGCAGAATGCATTTCGATTCGTTGTACACAAATGGAGCACAACTTTTTATTTCTCTGGTTGTACACGATGTAGACATACATATGTGCAGACACACACGGACCTAGGGTAATGATGCTCATCTCATTCCACCATCTTTTTTGCCCCCATGACTTAATGGGGTTCTTGTGCAGGTGAGATGATATTATGCATGCAATACACCTAGCATAGTACCTAGTACATGGTAGGTACTCAGTAAATGTGCAAAACAGAAAACAACCTCTTCGGTAAGATAGGAAATGTTGTTACAGTAATAATTCCTAAGTCTTAGTGGCTTGAAACAAAGGTTTRTTTCTTGCTTATATTACCTGCCCACGGAGGATCAATTGGGGGCACTATGCTTATTGTTCTTCTCTCCTTTTGAACCCCAGGCTGAAAAAGCATCACTTGTCATTGACATGTGCAGAGGGAAAGAGAGCTCTGGAAAGTCTCCCACCAGCAGTTAAATTCTCTAGCTTAGCAGTGTACACATTTCTGCTCATTTATTGATCAAAGGAGTTCATGTGGCCTTGCATAACCTCAAGAGAGTGGGGGCAAGGAAGTACAATCCTACCTCATACTGGGAATATTTGTGAATATCTCTTATGATGCCCACATCCTGAAAGATAGCTTCCATCAGAAGGAATTGCCAATAACAATAGCAAGAATTAACATCATTGGCCTTTCACCATGTACCAGACACTGGTGTTTTCTTTACATGACTATACTTATTCCTCACAACCCTGCTTTGAGTCAGGTATCAGTCTCTTTAGAGCTCTGAGACACACAAATGGGATAGTCCCCCAACTATACACAGAACCAGGGGTGGATGGATGGGGTGCAACCCACCCATACACAGTAACAACAACCTGTTTCCAAGCCAGAAGCTTTGGATTCTTTTACAGAACCCCTATAGGAAATTTTATAGACAGGGAAGGGGATTGTGGGGAGAGTTTTGGGGAGAAAGAGAAGTCTAAAAGAGCAGTTTCTTTCCACTTTCACCTGTGCATTCAGCATTTGTAGGATGCTGCTTAAACTAGAGGCCATGCCAACCAGCCAAGGGCGGGCTATACATTTTACCAAATTGCTGTGGAAGGATTCCCTCTCCCTTACCCTAAGTGTCTTCCTGAACACTTTCAGTTTGTCAAGAAGTCTGAAATTTCACCACTAAATACATTCAGCCCTTTGGATAAATATCACAATCTAGTGTGGAGGGAATTAATTTTGAAGTCAGGCCAGGTGTGGTGACACACACCTGTAATCCCAGTGGCTCTGGAGGCTGAGGCAGGAGGATCACAAGTCCAAAGCCAGCCACTCTAGGTAATGTAGTAAGGCCCTGTTTCAAATTTATTTATTTGTTTGTTTGTTTGTTTATTTATTTATTTATTTATTTTTTAATATTTATGTTCTAGTTATCGGTGGACACAACATCTTTGTCTGTACGTGGTGCTGAGGATCGAACCCGGGCCGCACGCATGCCAGGCGAGCGCGCTACCACTTGAGCCACATCCCCAGCCCCAGCTGTTTCAAATTTATTAAAAAATAAATAAATAAAAGGGCTGAGATGTGGCTCAGTAGTTGAGTCCCCCTGGGTTTAATCCCCAGTACCAAAAAGAAAAAAGAAGTCAGGAAAATCAGAAGGAAGTACTATAGCTGGATAACTGAGAAAGCTGCCTGATTTCTCTGAGACCTCAATTTTCAAATCTGTAAAAGGGGGGATATTAATATCTGGCTTACTTTATGCAATTTTTGTCATGATCAAGATAGTACATGAATTTTTTTGTGATTCCTTTAAGAGCTGTATAAATTATTTTTAAAAATCTTATAAAAAATCGAAGGAAGGTTAATATATTTAGGTGAGGAGGGGGGACCCTGGTCTTTACATCATATGTTTGATCCACTTACTTTCCTTGTAAGAACAAGCTGGATCCAAGGAATGTAACTTTTGCTTGCATGGGATACTTCTTTGAGCATCTTCTGGGTAGGGTATGGTTTGGGGACTAGGGGGCCCCTGAGCTTGTGGAAAGAGGGTCAAGGGTGGGAAAGTGGCACAGATAAAGGCCCTGCCTGCATGGCAATTGTGGTTGGGATCACCCTGGTCACATTCTAGGATTATGTCACCTGTCTATGCTTCACCCTATTGAAGCTAATGTGGGAAAAGTGGTTTCATGGGAGGTATGGAAGAAATTGGGGGAGGAAGGGGAAAATAAAATTTAATGTTAGGCTGCCTTGTCAATGCCAAGTCAGTAGGACACTGAGTAGCTGTGCCCAGTAGCTAACCCTCATGGAATGCCTCATGTTGTGCTTGGCCCAAGTTCCTTTCCATTATTAACTAAATTTAAGCTTGTTATAACCCCAACACATAGGTGATATTACCTCCATTTTACAGATAAGGAAACTCAGGCAAAAAAAAAAAAAAAAAGTTTAAGCAGCTTGCTTCAAGTCACACAGCTAATTAGCAAAAACCAGTGGGCTTGAAATCCAGGCAGCCTGGTCTAGTGTTTTCCACCTCTCCTATGGAAAGAATTGCCTGGAACAGTGCTTCTAACAACAAAGATTCTTGAGCCCAACCTTGGCCTGAGTTCCAGCACTTAAAATGAATATTCCAGGGGATTTTWAAATTCAGGCAAGTGTGAGCAGCTCCACTGTGCAGTACTAGGTATGGGGAGGAGGAACCTGTTTGCTCACATGGAAGGTTCATGAAGAAAGCATGCATTGGGGCTTGGAAAGCCTTCTTGTAGTCACTGAATCTAATATCTTTGAGATATAGGACACATTATTATGCTGTATACTGTAAAAAGGGAAAATACTGCTAATCAAAAYTATGAACTAATGCTTTCTTATTATACTTATTTCCAAGATATTGAGATGTTGAAATATGAACAATATATATTTTCAGAGAGATAAGTTCTCTGGGCTGGATCCCCCACCCCCATCCTCCCAGGGATTGAACCCAGGGGTCCTTAGCCACTGAGCTACATCCCAAGCCCATTTTTATTTGTTTATTTTTTAAATTTTGAGACAGGGCCTCGCTAAGTTGCTCAAGGCCTTGCTAAGTTGCTGAGGCTGGCTTTAAACTTGTGATCTGACTGACTCAAGCTCCTAAGCCACTGGGACTAGATTTGGGAGGGTTTTGGAGCCAGGGCAAGCAGTGCCTCCTTGAGTCCAAGATGAAGAGATAAGCTGAGGGGCTGGTAGGACTACCTAATGCAGTGACAGATGTCACCCTGGCCAAAGAGCTCAGTTCTTTGCCTCTGCCTCTGACTGCTGGGTCTCAGGGACCAGCTGCTTTTAGATTTTGGAGCCCATTTTTTTCACTTGTGTTTTACAAGAAGAATGGCAGAAGCTGCCTAATGTTCCTCTCAAGGCTAATGCAAAGACCAGGGAGGTGACAAGATAAGAGTAATTCAAAGTGGGAGGTAGGGAGCTGAGACACCTAGCATGACATCATCTTTACCCTTTTTTTCCCCCTTAGCCACAGGTTTAATGATAGGCTGCCTGGTCTACCCAGACGGCTGGGACTCAAGTGAGGTGCGACGCATGTGTGGGGAGCAGACAGGCAAGTACACTCTGGGCCACTGTACCATCCGCTGGGCCTTCATGCTGGCCATCCTCAGCATCGGCGATGCCCTCATCCTCTCCTTCTTGGCTTTTGTTTTGGGCTACCGGCAGGACAAGCTCCTCCCTGATGACTACAAGGCAGATGGAAAAGGTAAATTACCCTCCTCCACAGTGTGTCACCTGCCTGGGGATCCTAGGTGGGCAGATAGACATAGCCCTAGTCCCCCTAAGCAAGTGCTCTATGACTGAGCCAGACCCTCAGCCCTTACTTACTCAATTTTAAAAACAGGCAATTTGAATGGACATCTCTGCAAAGAAGATATGTATATGGCAATTAGCATATAAAAATACTCACCATCATTAATTATTAAGAAAATGCCAATCAAAACCCACTTACTAGCAGGGTTACAATAAAAAGATGAACAATTAAACGTGTTGGTTAGGGGGCTGGGATTGTGGCTTAGCAGTAGAGCGCTTGCCTAGCATGCGTGGGGCCCTGGGCTCGATCCTTAGCACCACATAAAAATAAATGAATGGAATAAAGGTATTGTGTCCAACTACAACTAAAAAAATACATATTAAAAAAAAACAAAAAACAAAAAAGTGTTGGTTAGCATGTGAAGAAATTGGAACACTTAGACAATGGAAACAGTCTAGCAGTTCCATATAGTTAATCATAGTTATCATATGATCCAGTAATTCTACCCCTAGGTATATACACAATAAAACTGAGAACATGGGTTGGGGTTGTGGCTCAGTGTTAAGGACCTTGCCTCACATGGGTGAAGCATTGGGTTTGATCTTCAGCATCATATAAAAATAAGTTAATAAAGGTATAAAAATTCATTAAAAAACCCTGAAAATATACATATATTCATAAAAACCTTGCACACAAATGTTGAAAGCTGCATAATAGTCAAAAAGTAAAAACAATCCAAATGACCACCATCTGATGAGTGGATAAACAAAATGTGTTTATCCATACAATGAATATTAAGAAGGAATGAAGGATAACAGGATGAACCTCGAAAACAATGAAAGAAGCCAGACACAAAAGACTGGCTTCCATTTGGATATGTTTGATTCTATTTATATAAAATGTCAGAATAGGCAAATCCATACAGACAGAAAGCAAATTAGTAGTATCCTGTGGGGGGGAAGAGGGAGGAATTGACAGTGACTGCTAAGGGACATAGCATTCTTTCTGGGGTGATGAAAACGTCTTAGGATTAGACAGTGATGATGGTTGCACCAACTAGTAAATATACTAAAAACCACTGAGTTTTATACTTTAAATGAGTGGATTTTGTTACTGAATTATATTAATAAAAAGGATTATTCTTAGGATTCAATAATACACATAAAGCACTAATAAAGCCTGCATATTATAAATGATTAATATTAGTTCTCTTCCCTCTGGTCTTTCCAGCATCTCTACTTTTTATCACACTTCCATCCAATAATAACAACTATTGTGCTCCAGTTACCTACCAACATCTTTAGGCACTGGGGGGTAAAGTGGTGACTGGAGAAGTCTAAATTGGAGCTTACAGTCTGGTAAGGGAGACAATCATTAAGTACAGAATTATAAACTGATAAATATTATGTACAGAAAAGTGCAAGCTTTCTTGAGAGTGAATGAGAGGGATATGATTTAGTTTGGAGATGGGGTAATGTGCTGGAATTACCCTAAAAACAAGGCTTGGCTGTAAACACATACTGTTCTTTCATTACAGAGGAAGTCTAAAGCGGCTGAAGGGTCGGTGAGTAACTTTATTGGAAGGTGGTCTGCATGCCTTTGAAGAGCTGGGGCCTTTCAGCTTTCTTGTTGAATTCTTAGGCAGAATGACTCCTGGGGTTGGAGTGTAGGGGCTACTATGATGCAGCCTGGGACAGAGGAGGAGCAGACCACCAGTGTGGGAGCTAACTGGCACCTGAGACCTTCCCTGGTGTGGGGTGGGGTCAGACAGGAAGCCTTTGGTTTTACCTGAATCTTGAGATATGGAAAAGAACAAGAAAAGGAATACTTCAAAATAGATATGGGGTTAGCTTCCTAAACTTATTTATTTTTGGAGCCTGGCAAACAAGAACAGATTGTTTTTAGAAGTTGTAATTATCATTTGGACCCTTATTTTCAGAAAAAAAAATTTTTAAATGATTTGTAAGAAACATAGTAGAAAACCTAATAAAATAGGAAATAAAAGTCATAGAGAGAAAAACAAATATTCAAGAAAGCTAGTCTAATAAAATTACTATATTAAGTTTAGCTGTATGCTTCCTGATAGCTGAGGCAAAAAGAAAAACAATGAATTAACCAGTTTTAATGTCTGACTCAAAAGGAAGCACAACATAATAATTTCTTTATTTTCTTTAGTTCACAAAATGTGACATAAGAAGACTGTTAAGGAGTAAAACCAATAACAAAAAACCTACAACACTGTCWTCTAAAAGTGCCATTTATTAAGCAGGCCAGGTACTTAGCAGGCCAGGTACTTTGTGTGGGTAAGAGGAATTATCTCCTTTTTCGTTATTATTATTGTTATTATTTTGGCACAGGGGATTGAACTCAGGGGCACTCAATCACTGAGCCACATCCCCAGCCCTTTTTTATATTTTATTTAGAGACAGGGTTTTACTGAGTTGCCTAGTGCCTCATTTTGCTGAGGCTGGCTTTGAACCCGTGATCCTCCTATCTCAGCCTCCCAAGCCTGTGGGATTACCGCTTCTGGCTCCATTTACATTATTTTTATGTTGCAAAGTACCTTCTAATCCTTGACTATCTATACTCTTATGAATAATTATAACACCTCTCTACCCATTAGAGCATAATCAAACTTCAGTGTGCATTTAGTTACCTGGAAACTTTTTTAAAAAGCAGATTTTTGGGGACTGGGGTTGGTYGTAGCTTAGTGGTAGTGCACTTGCCTAGCATGTGTGAAGCACTGGGTTAGATTCTCAGCACCGCATATAAATAAATAAAATAAAATGCAGATTTTGATTCAGTTGGTAGAGGGGCCGCAGACACTGCATTTCTAACCAGAATCGTGAATTGGGATCATACTTTGAGTAGCAAAGTATTAGAGAATCAAACACTTTTCCCCATGTTTTTGAAATGTTCATTATTAAAATTTTTTGAAGCCATGAGTTCCATAGCATTGATGTACCATTACTTTCTAAACCACACCTTGGTTATTAGACATTTAGGGTTGCTATCATAGCGAATAACTTTCTGCTTTTGTTGATAAATTTCCAAATGAAATCACTAAATCAAAGGGCAACTATATCGCTTTGCCTCCCTTTCCCCCACTACATTTTCAAAGACCATACAAGGGACAATGAATACTATCTTACACATGAATGAGGAAATTCCTACATCTGGGTAGAACTGAAGTTGTAATGCGAGAATAAATGTTATTATTTTTTTTACTTAAAAAAATGTCAAATCTAGGGGCTGGGGTTATGGCTCAGTGGTAGAGCGCTCACCTAGCATGTGCAGGGCACTGGGCTCGATCCTCTCAGCACTACATTAAATAAATAAATAAATAAATAAATAAATAAATAAAATAAAGGTATTGTGTGTGTCCAACTAACTAAAAAAAATTTTAAAAATGTCAAATCTTATAATACTGAAATCTTTTGTTGTCTTGTTTTTCTTACATTACAGGTCATTTATTTCCCAGACAATGGAAAATTAGGGCATCTAATTCTTCAGATATAACTCTTTCCTCCAGCTTCCTTGTCCCTGGCTCAAGTCGTGCATCGTGGTTGGAAGCTGACCATCTCTTAAGACAAGATTCCTGCAGCACAGAGACCTCTTCCAGGTGAAGCAGAACTGCAGTGACCCTTATCAAAGTTGTGGCATGGGAGTTGCTCAGCCATGGTGGAGTCTGAATTTCATTCCTATCCTTTAACACCAGCTTTTCTGTGAAATGAGAAGCCTGGCAAGTCCTCTCTAGGGGTCTCTCCTCAGTCTCTGGCAACTACTTCACGCAGGGTACAATCATTTCATGGCACACGCAGAAACAAATGCTAACAGCTCTAAAAAGGTCRCTGAAGAAGAGGTGGCTGAAAGTATGTTGGATTAATTGAGGCTGATTGTGGGGGCAGGGGGGTCTCTTGCTTCTCCCCGCTTTTTGCRTACTTACTGATGTTCAGAGAGGCAAGGAACGGTGGAAACACCAGAATCTGAATCCTTTAACATCCATCAGTTAGTCTAATTGGGTAAATATATGTAGGACCTAAAAACTCCTGAGGTGTTGGAGGTATAGTTCAGTAGTATAAAGCTTATCTAGCATGCACAAGACCTCAGGTTCATCCCTGGTACAGTGAACCAAAAACCCTTTGAGACTAATTTCACACTTATCTCCTCAATATTTCCTCACAGTACCTACACTGACCCAACCAGAACCAGATACCAGCTTCAGAAATTTGTTACCTGTATCCAAGTCATTTGTTACAGGAATAGAAGGCACTTCTTGTCAAAAACTTTTGAGCGATACTGAAATAGGATCTGGTCTTTGTCCATTTTGAGTGACTCAGTAAAGAAACTACCCGGGTATGCTATTCTCACAGGGGGAGAGGGGATAAATGCTGAATAAAACTAAGAATCTTGTTGCTTGATCAAATGACATGGAAATTTTGTTATTCTCGGCCATCAGTTGTTTCTTGTACAGTACTACTTGCTCACTCTGCTGTCTACACTGGTTCAGCTGAGAAAGAATATCCTAGTGTGAATCCAGTTAAACAGCTGGTGATAAAACTACTATAACAGAGTTTACCTCATCACTTGGTCTTTTTATAATAATCACATTCATATTTTTTGCTGATAAAATTATTTAATTCACAGGAGGCACTCCTTTTGATTAAAACCCATTTAACAAATCCTGTAGCTTAGGGACTTTTTCTCATAAAAGAGGTACAAGAGAAGTTTCTAAAAGTTCTCCATTGTCAAATTATTTTTCTTCTCATTTGGTGGTCCACAGAAGCTCCTGGGAGGCTTACAGTGCAGCTGCCTACAGGCCATCCTCTGCTCTAACCAACACTGAATTTCACCAAAACAGGAATCATGTTTGGCTTATGGCCAATGTTGGGAAAGGACCTGCAAATCTGTTTATCATCATACGACACATGTATCACCTTTTATCTTCCAAGGGAACTAAAAATTCTATTTTACTAATAACATTAATGATTTTCAGTTCTCTAAGTGGGTTTATCTTTAAATAAATTTTTAAAGGTAACTCAAACCTTATTTATCTATAATAGAATAAAAATCAGTGAAATCTGTACTTCTTTCCAAATTATCTTGTTCCTTTCTCACTTCTGGTTTGCCTGTTTGAGGCGGGTGTATAGATGGTTGTGGTGCCTGTTTCACAGTGAGTAGCTCTAACAGTCAAAAGCAAGCCCATACTCCAGGAAAGCCCACTGAAACAGGGTATGTGAAACAGAAGGTAGGATTCACTAGGGCTCTTTGAAAAGTTGTTTTTCAATAATTCAGTTAATTTTCTGCCTACATAGGCATTTATCAGAATGCTCTACTGGAACAAAGGTTACCTTCTGGTAGCCTTACATTGTAATGTTTGACATGCCTTTATGTATTTGTTTGGTAATAAGCTGATAAAGATGAAAAGCATAAGAGCTCAAATTCTGAAAACTTACTATTATTCATCTTCAGAGGACTTATAATAGGATCTACTAGATTTCCAACATTCACTACTCTCCTCAATACCTAGTAAATCCAAAGCAACTAGTGTAATGTCATCTTTGTGACACAACTATGAACACAAGTCAAATTGCTGGCTGTTAATGCACTCACCTCTATAAATGTCCAATTCTGCCATTTGGAGGACAAAACTTTGCACTATATTAAAATGGGCAAAGACCAGATCTGAATTAAAGACAAAAAGGAGATAATGATGAAGACTGAATTTGGGAAGATAAACTGGACATTTACAAGGAATGGTGCAGTTTATAGACAGCACCAGATACTAAAGTAAACTTACTTCATTCCTTGGCTAACATTTCTAAATACAACATGATCTCAAACTTTCTGCTTTTAAACTGGAATGTCTGAATTAATATTGCTCCAAGAATTTGGAAATAAATGCATATCATATCAACTTTCAACACCTTCAGTGACACAAAAATCAAACTTGATTCCTTTTTTTTTTTTTTTTTTTGCCTGTGATGCTGAGGATTGAAACCAGGGCCTTGTGCACTATACCAACTGAACTATATCCCCAGTCTCCTTCTGAGATTTATAGTTATCTTCCTATATCAACATTCTAGATTGTTACCAATGCTTTGCCAACTCCCAAGACATTGATTATTTGAGCTCTTGTATCTAAGGCTTTATTTTAAAGTGAATAGAAATATAGATGTATTATCAGTAAATCACCACTTTAGCACTTTCTTCATAAGGCTGGCCTTGAAGATTCTACATGGTTCATAAGTTTAAAAAACAAACAAGCAAACAAACAAAAAAACCCTATATGCCTGGAATTCCAAAGACTTGTGAGGCTGAGGCAGGAGGATGGCAAGTTCAAAGCCAGCTTCAGCAATTTAGCAAGACCCTTTGTCTGAAAATACAAAAAAAGGCTGGGGATGTGGCTCAGTGGTTAATTCCCCTTGGGTTCAATCCCTAGTAGAGGGGAAAAAAGGACAATAATGAAGCCGGCTCTGGAGAACTACACTTACTGTGGACCCTTGGTTTGCTGCTTTTTTTTTTTTTTTTTGGACAGCTATAGGTTCTTTTTTTTTTTTTTTTTAAAGAGAGAGGAGAGAGAGAGAGAGAGAGAGAGAGAGAGAGAGAGAGAGAGAGAGAATTTTTAATATTTATTTTTTAGTTCTCGGTGGACACAACAT